AGTTGATAATTTTAATTTTATGAACACAAATTATATATATATGTTTGTATTATATATGCATAGACATATGTATATCTTAATAGTCCAATTAAATTTTTTATACCCATGACTAACCGGAAATTTATCTGACCCACCCTTGGTCATTAACCTACTTAGACTTTCAACGTTGCATTTTTAATAACTTCAATATAAGAAATTTAATTGAAATTTGGAATATTAATATATTATTTATACATTATATATTATTTATATATTATATATGATTTAAATCTGAAGACATTATGAGTAATTACTTCAAAAAAATTTTTTTACAATTATTTTTATTTTAATTAAATAATATTCGGTTTGGTATATGGTTTTATGGTTTCTATAATAATATATATTCATGGTTTCTATAATAATAATAATAATATTTTATAGTGTACATATATTTTACATATATATTTGTTGATGCTTTCTGTTCATTTGTCTTCTATTAAATCTATTAAAATGTTTAAAATTATTAACTCCATTTAAAGTATCAGTTGGTGGTTCAGTTGGTGGCTCGGTTGGTGGTTCAGTTGGTGGTTCGGTTGGTGGTTCGGTTGGTGGTTCGGTTGGTGGTTCAGTTGGGGGCTCAGTTGGTGGTTCAGTTGGTGGCTCGGTTGGTGGTTCAGTTGGTGGTTCGGTTGGTGGTTCAGTTGGTGGTTCGGTTGGTGGTTCAGTTGGTGGCTCGGTTGGTGGTTCAGTTGGTGGTTCAGTTGGGGGCTCAGTTGGTGGTTCAGTTGGTGGTTCGGTTGGTGGTTCGGTTGGTGGTTCGGTTGGTGGTTCAGTTGGTGGTTCAGTTGGTGGTTCAGTTGGTGGTTCAGTTGGTGGTTCGGTTGGTGGTTCAGTTGGTGGTTCAGTTGGTGGTTCGGTTGGTGGTTCAGTTGGTGGTTCAGTTGGTGGTTCAGTTGGAGTTGGTACTTCGGTTTTTCCATCCAAACAACTTTGAAGTTCAGCAGAAGTGCGATCGTAATTGTCAGTATACACACGTTCTGATTCATATGTGCATCGATCTTTTCGATTATCGATTAAGCGAGTTTGTTCTTTCAAGTCATTAACAGCAGTAGCGACATTTCTTGATATAGAATTCATATCCTTAGATCCTTGGGTAGCCTAAAAGGAATTCAAATGTTTTGTTAAATTTATTTACGAATTCACTTTTAAACTTAAGCTTACCTTATTTTGGTAACATTCAAAATATCCAATTGCGTCAGCAATGACTTCACAATCATTAAATTCGGCACAAGATTCATCTGTGGATGACTTGATTTCTTCTCGCTTGCCTGTCACTGAATCTTCCAGGTCCGCTTTCTCAGTTTCTGCAGTTGATTCACATAATCTAAAACTGGCTTCATATTGTTCATTTACTTCTTGCAATGCTGGAATATAGTATTGGAAACATTTTGTTGTTGTTTCAGGACTTCTTTCCAAATAAGAACGAGACTGCATCATTATTTCCATTAAATTCTGCTCAGCAAAAAGATTCACTTTAGCTGATACATTAACATTTGCGAGACCCAAACAAAGTATGAGAAAACTTATTTTCGTTAAAGAAAACATTTTTATTCTTTTGGTTTTAATTCAAAAATAACTTTTACTAAAATAATTTTAAAAATTGTTGTACTCGTTAAAAGCTTCAACTGTTTCTAAATATTTCTGCAAAATTTTTTTGTTTTTATATGAAACGGTTAAGTCTTATACTCTTATAGTATTTTATGGCCCCCAATAAAGGCATTCAATTTTATTGCTAATTACTCTTGTATGAAGAAGCTTTTCAACAGAATTTACTAAAATTCTATCAACATTTATATATTTGTTCAGAGAAATGGTCTTTATCACAAAACTGTTTCAAGTAAATTTTTATTATTTATTGATGTCTTTAAGAAAGTTTCGATTCTTTATTTCATGAGAAAATAAATATAAAATTAACACAAGGGTTCTAAGCTCCAGACGAACCCTATTTCGTAGGTTACCGTATTTAATTTAAAATAAAACTTTATCGAAATTGATGACTGTTAAAGTCCGTGCTAATTCTGAACATGTTGTAATTAAAAAATGATTTCTTCTGAAATATCATAAAATCTTAACCGTATTTTATTGAAGGACCTAAATATCTCCTATGGTAATTGCTAATAAATACTCTCACTACAAATTTCTGTTGCTCAAAACTCGTGGTTACTTTGGAATTATACACTACACTACTTTTTAAATATCAAATCATTCAGATGCATAGAAGATGTTAAAGTCTACCATCGACATTTCCAAACATTCCTACCAATTTTCCAATTTACCAATTTACCAATGATGATTTATACAGCTTGATCAACAGTAATAAGTGAAACTCGTAAAGAAGAAACATAAAGGCAATTCAGTCATATACTTTCTATATTACTATGCCTTATTATGAAACATCAAAAACTGGACCTCTGATATGTTATGATTCCGATTTCTGCGGTTCTCTATCATAAACCCAGTGAGAATCTCGATATTCTAATTACTTGAAGTTAGGAATTTATTTGAGAACGCTAAATATAGAATATATCTCTAAACTAGTCTCTGGTTGTCGTAGTTCATGCAGTTGTTTTTGTACTTGAAAGAATTTTTTACAATACGAACTTTGAAGGTCAAAGATAAGTTAAAAGATTCATTAACCCATCTAACGCAGTATAAACTCCTCTTTAATTTAAACTTGATTGCAATATGGCTATTATAATAATATTTCCAATTTTTCTCATGTTATCTATTGTTAACAGATTTAAAAATCTTATAATTAATGGACAGTATTCTAGTAATATTCATATATAAAATATTATTAATTATTTTTTATTAAAGCATAAGACATATCCATTATCTAAATTGATGGGAAACCAGCGTTTTGACGTCACATTATGTCGTTACCTTTTAACGTTACATTATGACGTTATCTCTTGTTGTTCTCATTTGAGGTTACTGTTAAGATATTATGTTAATGCTATTAAATTAACATATATGTAGATGACAATGTTTAAGAGTAGACAGATTTTTTCCAGCTAGATCTTTGCATATTATTTTTTACAACACTGTTTTATTCGTAAAGAATTTTTTATTTTTAATTGTTATTAAATATAAAATAATTTTAAAATAAACATTAAATCTTATTACTTATAATTCTAAACATAGTTCTTTAGCTCTGTATCTAATCCTGCTCCATATTTGTTTATACAATTCATATTCACACCAAACACCTGCCAGCCTAATCTCCTCATGACATAAGATAATATTTTTCTTATATAAAAACTAGAAAATAAATTATCATTAAATTAATTAAAAAAAAATTAAAAGTACGTGCATTAAATACAATAGATTAAGTCATATATTAAGTGCTTGACAAAAAAAAAAATTACGAATTATTCAATATATATTTGATTTGTTCTTCTAAAAAATTACCCCAGATAATTTATTGGTTGCGTTTCCGCCGGTTTTTTATTATCAACGGAAGTAATACTTCGCAGTTCACTTGCAAAGCATTGAAAATTTTTAAAATTCTTTACAAATGATAAAGAACGGAAATTGTTTACAAACTAAATTAATTTATTATTTTTATTTTGGTAGATGGTTTAATTTTAAATTTAAAATAAACTATGGTGCGAGTAAGAAGTAACAAAAATATTTCCTCTTAACTTATGACTAAATGAAGTCATAAATTATTTAATAATTCACAAAATAAATTATAAAAAAATTTACATTTAATTTTAATGATAATTATTTATACAGTATTCTATAATCATATAAGAGCGAGTCAAAAAGCCATTCAAATAATCGAGTATATCATGTCTTATTTTAATGATTCATTTTTATTCTCTAATAAAGTCTCACTTCAATACAATATATTTGATCCGACGATTCTCCAGCTTTTCTGAGCCCATCAATTAATTGATTTGTTCAAAATAAGACTCAATTTTTTGTTGATAAATCGTTTTCCTTTCACCCATTTTTTCGGCTTTGATATATAATATAAACTATATAAATAAATCAGGTAAATAATAAAGTGATTCTTATCAAAATTCTTAAAATTTTGCAATGGCGGTTACGCACGTGTGCATCCATGCATTATCAAGATATAGAAACACTTTCTTCGTTAAGAAATTGAAAGTCAAAGACTTGACACTGAAATTGACTAGAAAAGATTACGTACCAATCGCTTTTATAGTGTAATTTGATAAAAAGTAGTTGAAACAAATTACATATTTTCTTTGTCTTCTATTTTTTTTCTGTATATGAAAGTATTGAGAATAACCGACTGAGACTTAAACCTACTTATATCAAGTTTTAGCAATGATTTGAAAACATTACTTAACACTTAGGCAGTGAATGTTTTTTGTTTTACGAGTTCCATTTCAAATGTTCCGACAAAAGCATATATTTGATGGTCTCGTCATCCTTCAAACAAAATAAACATTAGCTGTTCTTAGCCAGGTTAAAACGAGGGAGATTTGACATTATCTATGATGTTGAGCCACAAAAAAACAGTGACATTTAGGGATATTACGTAATGGAACGTCCGTTTGTCTGCCGACACAGTAAAGCATACAATGCAAGCAGTGTAGGAAATTTCATTCCAGTAATTAGGGGCGAAAGTTGACCTAAAGGGCCTTAGAACTCAGAATTCTAGCTTTATCTATGTTAGAAGGAATAGCCGTGATTTCCATTGTTGAAAGGAATATACGTAATATCTGTAAATACTATTTTAAAATCCCAATACGGTTCATATCTTCGGTTATGATATACTCTAAGTATTTGTTACACCCATATAGGTCATAACTTATTCACACCCAAATGATTGTGTAAAATATACTTAACATATGCATACAAAATCACGTATTTTCACATGTCGATCTATTCATAGAATATTACTGATTTAGTGGAGAACTACCTACTAAGTTCTATCAATTCGATAGAACACCTCCAGTATTAAAAGTGAATAAACGAAAACTTTTAAGTTAATTTCCTGAAAAGTGTAATGAAAATTTTATAGTATAGTGGTATACAATTTTTATATGAGAGAAGATATGTTTGTTTATTGATATACTCGCTTTTTCCCGTAGTGCAAAAATATATTCAGATCGATCGTTTTCTAGCTTCTAAAGAAATATGGAGTTCCATACAAAATTTGAGCGTTAATAGCTAAAATTTGATTTTAAGTAAAAAGTAGTGTAGGATATGATTATGAGTTGATATCATTGATGTAAGATGGTCCTAACTGCTTCTTATCTTAATATTTTATTAAACTCTTTTTATACGAATATATGTGTGCCTATACTTTAGATAAAGAATCTTATCTGTTACAGGAGTACATTAGCTGCTTTCCAAATTTCACGTAATCATAGTTGTAATCATTTTACAGATATTATAAATGATTAATATATACAGTGCTGCGCAAAAGTTTAGGACTGCCTCAAAATTTTTTAATACTTCAATTTCGTAAGGGTATGTAACGATTAAACAATTTTAACTAAGTACTTTTTTTGTGTGTAAAAAATATAATAAGAAATTGAAATCGATTGAAATTAACGTTAACTATATTGAATACATAGTTAACTATAGAGAGAATTTATAAGGATTACTCTATTTCAACCTCAACGACTATAGCTCCAGAACTTATACAAATCGGTAATCCTTAATTAAATGTCTTATTTTAAAACAATTCACTGTTTCCATGTAGTGTTTTCCTAATTGAAATATTCTAATCAGAAGGAAAAAGTAATAACAGTAAAATAGGAAAACTCTAAACCTGAACATTGCAGTTTAAGTGCGTCGTTGGTTCAGTGTGTTAATATGCAAGCCTCAGTTTGAGATAAGACAGGGTTTGATAGTCTGGCACTTGCATTTTAAATATTATATACCAATATTATATATTATTTAAAGTAACTATATATATTTGCAAAGACCACTGACAATTGATATGTGGTAATATTTGAAAGAGTTATATGGTTCGCCCATAAATTTTACTGAATTTAAAATTAATTCTTAGATTTAAAATTTTATTACTATTATTTTTTTTCTATTTAAAATAGATTACTGGTCAAAGGAAATATTAATGTTATCATAAAAAAATTCTACAATTATTATGATATACCAGTAATGTTTGAGAATTTTAAACCTAATATATATAAAATAAAAAATTTTTAATTTTCTTTTGTTATTTATTTTTTGACAGTAGTAGCCTTCAGTAGTAGGCAGTAGTAGCCTTCAACTTGATACAATTTTCCTCACAAGGCTTCAATTTCTACAACCGTTTTCAATAATAAATTATGTTAACGTCTCCAAAATATGCATTTAATGTGGGTACTAGCTCTCAATTTGATCGGAATTTCTACCATTGGAACTGTACTTTCTATTTGGAACATTAATCTGACAAATAAGTAGCTAGGTAAATATAGAACGTAAGGGTTAAATAAGACACAATTTAATACTTTTTAAAAAATATTTTTTATACATTTTTCAGAAAAATGTGCGAACATAGAAGTCAAGTACGGCTTTGGGTCAGTTGATTAAGGTGCGCTGACTCTAAGCTTCAAATTTGGCAGGACACTAGTTCGATTTCTTGTATTATTGGAATTATTTCCAAGACCACTCATGATGGGTATTTGGCAATACCCGATTTGGCATACATCTGTATGGTCAGGCACAAATTCAATTAATTAAAATAATATAAAATGAATTTTCGTTGTTGTAATTCACTACTGTTCGAAAAACCTCTATATTCATTTAAATGGGAATGCTTTAGATATATATTAGTTAAACACATAATAAGTGAAATCAATATTTTCTAAGATTTAACTATGAGTTTTTTTATATTTATGCTATCAGTTCCGCTGTAGTTTTTAGAATTGATCTTTTTTTAGATTATATACTTAAAATCTTAAATAGATTTATTAGACCCAAAATAATAGTCGAGTTTATTTTTTTTTAAAAAAAATTATATTGCATTGTGTTTATTTTTGCATTTAGCAAGGGAGACTATGATAAGATGTGACTAATTTCATGAATTTTATTAACTTCTTTAATTTTATAATTAAAACTTGTACTTAAAAGTTAAACTAGTAAGAGTAATTAAATATTGTGTAGGTAATGTATTGTTTCTAATGCTATCATTATTAACACAAAACACTTTGAACAATAAAATTTCTTAAAGATAGGCACGTCTATATATAAATATATATATATATATTTAAACTACCTTATTCATATTCAAATTGTACGATTTCATATCAACCTAATAAATATATAAGCTTTTTATGGGGATCATAAATAATATCATTTCAGAGTATTTCGTATAAAACTTAAAGAAATTAAGCTTTAATAGGTAGTATTATTTTGCGACTGAGTGAAGTCAGACGAATAAACGAAAATTAAAAAAATAATTCGAAAAGTTTTGAAGGAATTTAAAATCACAAAATGTACGCTCTAAAAGTGATATGTTTAGTTTTGTGCTTAAGTTTTGCGACTGCAAAAATACATCGCATTCACAACTCCGAACTTAGTCTACTTAATATTATGTTCAATTCACGTAGTGCACTAGAAAATAGTCCACAAAGATCTATGGCATGTTTTGATTACTATCTACCCAAATTGAATGCTATCGCATCAGAGTACGAAAGAAGTTTTGGAATATGCGAGGATAATGCAGATGCAGCTAGGGTTGATGTTGAAGAAGCTAAGGACCCTGCCCGTAATAAATTACAAGAAGACGTTGATGGTACCTGTAATCAGTTTAGCACTTGTACTGATGAATCATCAGCTATTCCATCATTGGAATGTTTCAAAAACAAAGTAAGTATATAATTTTCATATCCTTACAATGGCATGAGTATGATAAATGCTATTAAAATACAAATATTGATTCATGTGAGAAACTTGGAGTTGATATGAATAATTCTATATGTAGAATTTTTTTTGATAAGACCAAATCTAATAAAATTTCATTTAATTTTTTTTCAATTAGGCTTCTAATAGTGCAAAATCCATGTTAAAAGTTTCAGATGATGCTTCGGATATTTTGATAGAACTTCGTGAGGAATACGTAATTATTGATAACGCAGAACAACGCTGCAAAACTGAAGCAGAACGTATTTACGTTCAGGACAGCAGTCAAGCTTCTGCAGACATGCAGGATTGTTTAAATGGCAACTCTTCAGTTCCACCAGCAGATACCACAACAATCCCTACAACAACTGAAGATGATACCACAACAACTGAAGATGATACCACAACAACAGAAGATGATACCACAACAACTGAAGATGATACCTCAATAACTGAAAGTGGTGAAGACGACGAATCTGATGAAATGCCGGAAGAAGATGTTGATATGTTACAGAAATTAATTAAAAAACAAATTCTTAAAATTAAATACTAAACAAACGTTTTAAGTAAAAAATGTTTGAGAAATAAAAGCTTATTTATTGCAAAGTAAGAAAGTAATATAAAATAATTATTTATTAAAAAAATGACAGATTTTTTGAATTTCTTGTATTAAAAAAAACGATAGAATAACAAGTAAAATATATATATATATATAGGAGTAAAGTCGAAATTAATCGAAGGACTATACTAATACATAAGTATTATTAAGTCGTCAAGACATTTTAATAAGACACACCTTCTTTTCAAAAATGCTACTCTAATTTTTTGAAAAAACAACGCCATTCTTCTATTCCCGAAGTAAAATTTGTAGCTGGGCCACAGAAGTAATGGCAATATCTGATATAAGCTAAAAAGTCTAAACTTAATCTAATCTGTTAACTTTTATTTCCTGTTATAATCCGAGAATTGCAGTTGCATTAGAAACTTTTATAGATTTGTTATTTTAGTGGAACTATTAGTGTTAATCGTTTTTTTTTATTACAATCGTCATTTTATGCAATTATTTAGTTTTATCAATACTATTATCTTGTACCAATATAGTAGTGCCTAAAAAATAAAACGAATTTATTAATTGCATCCTTTAAAAACAATAACTCTTGAACTATATACGCAGTAATAGTTATTTATGGTATGAGCAATAATATTAATTGTATATGCAAAAATTAGTTGCTTTAAGGTGTGAAACTAAATAGTATATAGTATAGTATAGTATTGAGTATAGAACTACAATTTTTGAGTCGCATTTACACTTTAGTTTTTCGCAGCGACTTGTTGATCTACTTTGATAATGAATTTTATGTCTTATAACAAGAAATCTATTTCAAAAAAGGGTGAGAGTAGTGAGGAAATTTTCATATCGGAAAATAATGTTGTTAGATCAAATAAATTTATGGGTTGAACATAAAGCTATTGCCAAATATCCGCTATCAGTAGTCTTTAAAAAAATTCAGTCCCTTAGAATTTTTTTTTTCTGGAATTTGAAAAATTAAAACTCTTAAAACATGTTTGTAGATCCAAAAGTAATCCAAAGAAGGTATTATTTTCTACAATTTACAATTATTAAGTTCACTTATATAGCTGTCGTTTATGTGTTAGTTCTAGTTAATAATAAAGAATTGCAATGGTTGTTTGTGAATAAACAACAAATACTGATAAAGTTTTAAATTTGAATAAAGCAAATTAAGTAAATGTTGGCACTGTGTGTCAATACATAGGTCTACGGTTCAAAGTTGATAGGTTTTAATTGCCTCACACTTGTACTCAAATATTATTTATGATCAATTGAGTCAATAGATTTTTCCAAAGACTACTGTTGTTGAATATTTACTTGACTAAAAATTATCTATTTTATTTATTTCGGCTATTCTCAGCAACGGGCTGTTAATACTAAATTATTAGGTAAGTAAAAATTTTCCGCAACCTTTTTCTCACCAATATATATATTGTTTCTTGAGATATTATCTCTTAAAGTTGCAAATGAAAAAAATGTACATGAAAAAATGTACAGCAAGTCAGCCACTGCATGCTTCTGACTTTATTGGGCTCCTTCAATTATATAGTATCAACATATAGTCTAGTGGATACAGTTTGGTTACCAGCTGTCAAGACCGGCTGTTGGTGCCTTTAGTTTTCGACTCCAATCAATAGCGTTGTGGGTTAGCATTCTTTAACATGATATATCAAAACCTTGTATATTTTGGACCATTCATCTAGTTTTTGGCGATCTCTGCTTCGAATACATGCACATTTCTACACCATACATTTTATAGGATAGATTTGATCAGATTTGATAAGGTCTGCAGCTTATTTATTTCTGGAGTTGTTAATAGGTGTATTAAGGTGTTTACAAAATCGTAAGATTTTATTTTCGATTTCATATGATCAACAAGGATGTATATTTATGATGATAACATGAGGTACAGAAAAGATAAATTAACAGATGCAGCTATATTATCAATGATACTTTTTGTATATAATGCCACTAAGTATTCCACCTGATTCTCTGCTTAATATGTAATATTCGTCATAAAGTATATGATAATGTATTGTCACGTAGTTATCTTCGAACATAATTGCATGATTTATAAGCTACCTCTGTTTAATGGTGGATCCATTTCAATACGTTGAATACAGTAACAGCTATCTTTCTCTTTAACGAACTTGATCCCACTTAACCTCTATTGATACAAATGCTTTATTTTCTGCAGAAAAACTTCTCAAACTGCGTATAATTTTAAAATAAAGAATTTTATCATACAAAAATTACAAAAAATTTTCTTGGAAAAACTCACACAACAGGAAATTGTTAGCCGAAAAATGTGTATATTGCATAAATTAACTGAACCGATTTATTTTTAGACTCAATATATTGTTAATATTACTTGCATTAATAGACAATCAAAGCCACTCTTATCAGGGGGATTACATGGCACTGATTATAAACTTTTTTGCTTTTGTTTTTGGGCAACCTCTAATGTAGTCGCATTATTCATGTTATGAAAATCTGATTTCTTTCGGTTAATCAATTTATTTACCTTTTCGTTCTTATCATACAGAAAAAAAACTGACCACACACTTGGGTACAAACAAAATTGATAAAAAATAAATTAAAATATAATCAATAAATTGTATATAATAAATAAAAATCGATTTCATATAAAAGGCTGGATAGGTAGTAATTAAAATCATAGTAATAAAACATAACTCAAAGAGTGAACACTAGCAAGTGTGGTAGAAATAGAACTACATAAAACTAATAACAAAAGTGAATACTAAAATTTTTACTTTAAATAATTTAATAATTAGTGATATAAAAATGTTTATTAAATCCATATTGGCAATTTGTTTGTTGGCCTATTGTGCCAGTGCCTCTGATATCGATATTGATATGGATCCAGTAATTGCACAGCATCAATATGCAATGCGCATTATGATACGTTCATTATCTGGCAACATGAATCGCGATTTACCTACCGCCGATCAATGCTTCGATTATTACTTGGATCAAGAAAACGCTATTTATAATGAGTATAGCCGCACTTACAGAGGATGTTCAACGACTGCCAGCGATGCTAAGAAAGCTCTTTCAGATGAAAACGCTGAGAAACGTGACAGTATGATTACACAGAGTAAGGCAGTTTGTAGTGGTTTGGAGAGCTGTTACGATGTGACTGACGGTTTAGCTTTCTTCACATGCATGAAAGATACTGTAATTTTAAAAATGAATAACTTTAATTTCTTAGTTACAATTGTGTATTTAATTTTAGTCATCTAAAAGTGTTTCAACAGTATGGGGATTGGAGACTGACTCTAGTAACCAAGTGCAATACTTGGAAATTCAGTATCAAAAAATTGATAATGATCAAAAAGTCTGTTCAACTGCTGCTCGTAATAAGTATATTGGCGATATGGCAACATGCAATACTGATTTAGACAGTTGCTTAGCTGGTGGTTCAACTCTTCCAACAACCGCAGCTCCCGCGGATTCCACTACTCGTCCACAACCAACAATTGAAGATACCACTACTACTTCTCTACCAGTGGAGACCACCCCAGAACCAATAACTGAAGAAACTACTACTGTTGCACCAGTGGAGACCACTTCAGAACCAATAACTGAAGAAACTACTACTGTTGCACCAGTGGAGACCACCCCAGAAGCAACAACTCCAGAACCTCAAACAAGCGGAACACCAGACTCAATG